AGAAGCTGAAAATGCAGAAGACCGGCTCACCACCATCAAACTCGACCTGGCTGCTACGACCAACAGACCCGCCGCTGTCGGTGCCTCTAAACCCAAGACTCAACGCCTGTCGGAATCGGCAAGGGAACTACGGATGAAGATGGGGCTCTGTCTCAAGTGCGGGGAGAAGGGGCATTTCGCTGTGGATTGTGGCAGCCGTCAAGTCAAAGACAAGCCGCCTACCCCTAGCCCGAAGACACCGCTGTCGGGGAAGAAGGGGATGGCTAAACCGCGTTTCTCCAAAGCTCTGCAGGCAGCCCAAGGTTCGGAGGGAAACGAACCGGCTGCTGCCGAGTCCGAAGAAGAGCTGGTGGCTGAAACGGCGGAAAACGACCTCTGTGACCTCTGTGTACATATCCTTTCCCTGTTACACCCGGCTTGGTTTCTATCATCCTGCTCCTGCTTTGGAATGCTTAAGATAACTGCTGGAGGTTGTGTGGGGGAGAAGATGCTGTAATGCTTGCCTATTGATTTTCCCATGAGTACTGCACCTGTGTTTTGTCTGATGTCCTGCCTGGTTCCCACGTACTGGGCGCGCAACCGTTTCATTAGCCCGCCAGCGGGAAAGCAATTCATTGGATCTGTATCTATTTGAAGTTCCTTTATTATGCTTGACCTAACTGTGTATCCCCAGTTCTAACAAAGAACGTGTTTGAGTATGTCTTCAACGCTTTGAAATAAATTACAGGTTTGAATCCAGTCAGGAAGCACATGGGCCACTTGCCACCTCTCTGGCGAGCCGACCTCGTGGTTTGTTGTGCGAGGATAGATGGAGGAGAGAAGAGCCGACATGCTGAGCATTCTGGGAGGAAGAGTGAGATAGAATAGTGTGGCGGATGCTCACCCACACACAGGTTTGAATCCAGTCAGGAAGCACATGGGCCACTTGCCACCTCTCTGGCGAGCCGACCTCGCGGTTTGTTGTGCGAGGATAGATGGAGGAGAGAAGAGCCGACATGCTGGGCATTCTGGGAGGAAGAGTGAGACAGAACAGTGTGGCGGATGCTCACCCAGCTCCTGCACCGACTCGATTTCATCCCGGCAGTTTCGGCTACAGGTGTCTTGCTCCATCAGGGTCCCCCTCTCAAACTTCTTGCACTCCACACACTCCCTGCACAGGAGGAAGAAACAGGCGATGTCAGGGTAGGAAAGCAGTGGCTGTCCCCGGGCCCATCCTTGCCAATCCCATCCCAGGCCGGCAGCATCGATATCGTGGAGTGTCCAGCCAGAAGAAGAAGAGGAGGAGGAGGAGGAGGAGGAGGAGGAGATTGGATTTATACCCTGCCCTTCACTCGGAGTCTCAGAGCGGCTTACAAACTCCTCTCCCTTCCCCACAACAGACACCCTGTGAGGTGGGTGGAGCTGAGAGGGCTCTTTTGAGGACTGCCCTTTCAAGAACAGCTCTTGTAAGAACTATGGCTTATTTATTTTATTTATTTATTAATTAGATTTATACCCCGTCCTCCCCAACGGGCTCAGGGTGGCTTACAACAGAGGCAAATGCCATAACAAACAGTTAAAACAACATAAAACAATCATTAAACAGTATAAAACAATCATTAAGTAAAGTGCGGTGCTCTTGATGTTAAATTTTCTTAATCCAAGATTAGTTCCATTTGCCCAAGGTCCTCCAGCAGCTGCAAGTGGAGGAGTGGGGAATCAAACCCGGTTCTCCCAGATTAGAGTCCGTGCAGTTAACCACAACACCAAACTGGCTCTCAAGTCTTGCAGCAGTCCTGGGCTCAGTTCTTCTACCACCCCTGAGCTGCCTGACCTACAAGTATGTCCCTTCACTTCGTCCAGACAGGTACCCTGCCAGGAACACGCTGCAGGTCTCGGGTTTGGGCATCCCTTCCAAAGTCTCCGCAGGAGGGACAGGCTATTTTCTTCTGATGAAAGTACCTGACAAAAGGAGTTTGGACTCGAACGCTTATCGCTTGGACACCTCGTTCGTCTCGAAGGTGCTGCTGGCCTTGAATCTTGCTCTATTGTCTTTCGATTTGCTAGACGGGTTTTTCTGTTCATTTTGTCTCCCTGCCTTGCCCCATCCTTTGGAGCTCTCCGTTGAGGCTCCAGGTTCATCCAGGCTCTTCACCAGCCCTGCCAGGCATCTGTGCCTACCAGGTACCATGAAGGCCTGCCCAGCAGGGCTATTTTTGGAGTTAAAACAACATAAAACAATCATTAAACAGTATAAAACAATCATTAAGTAAAGTGCGGTGCTCTTGATGTTAAATTTTCTTAATCCAAGATTAGTTCCATTTGCCCAAGGTCCTCCAGCAGCTGCAAGTGGAGGAGTGGGGAATCAAACCCGGTTCTCCCAGATTAGAGTCCGTGCAGTTAACCACAACACCAAACTGGCTCTCAAGTCTTGCAGCAGTCCTGGGCTCAGTTCTTCTACCACCCCTGAGCTGCCTGACCTACAAGTATGTCCCTTCACTTCGTCCAGACAGGTACCCTGCCAGGAACACGCTGCAGGTCTCGGGTTTGGGCATCCCTTCCAAAGTCTCCGCAGGAGGGACAGGCTATTTTCTTCTGATGAAAGTACCTGACAAAAGGAGTTTGGACTCGAACGCTTATCGCTTGGACACCTCGTTCGTCTCGAAGGTGCTGCTGGCCTTGAATCTTGCTCTATTGTCTTTCGATTTGCTAGACGGGTTTTTCTGTTCATTTTGTCTCCCTGCCTTGCCCCATCCTTTGGAGCTCTCCGTTGAGGCTCCAGGTTCATCCAGGCTCTTCACCAGCCCTGCCAGGCATCTCTTCCAGCCTCATTCTGTTGCAGAAGGAGGAAGAAGCAGGAGGGTAAGTTGGCGTCCTCCCCCTCTGCCTGGCCGAGGCCACTCCACGTGGCCTCCGCAAGGACTCCCAGCCCCATCCAGGAGCTTCCCCGAGGTAGCTGTGTTAGTCTGTTGCTGCAAAATAGTCCAAGAGTTCAAATAGCACCTTTAAGACTAACCTTTAAGACTAAGACTGAGTGGTGGGTGTGGCCTTATGACACACTTCCGGTGATGTCAGGGGGTGTGGCCTTATGACACACTTTCGGTAATGTCAAGGGGTGTGGCATATGCTAATGAGTTATGCTAATGAGTTCCCCTAGCTCTTTTTCTACGAAACGGCCCCTGACTAGAGGGAACAAAACATTTGGACACCCCCCCTCAAAGAAACAGGAACTCTCAAGTGATGAAAATGAGAATGCAGAAAAGCCCAGTGAGGTGTAGTCTGATAGGGAGATAAGACAGTGGAACCAAACTGGAAGGGGAGAATGGGATTTCGTCTGTTTCCTGACACCATAAAGGCTGAGGAAGCAGCAATGGCCAGCTAGAGGGTGTCAGGAACTCAGAGGGTGGAGCCAGGGTGCTAAGGGGTGGCATTTTGCAGATCGGAGAGTGTAGCAGGGCCAATGGTGAGACCGGTAGGGTTGCCAGCTCGAGGTTGGGAAATTCCTGGAGAATTGGGGGTGGAGCCTGTGGACAGCAGGATGTGGGGAGGGGGGGGACCTCAGTGGGGTATAATACCATAGAGTCACCCTCCAGAGCAGCCATTTTCTCCAGCAGAACTGACATTTGTCATATGGAAATCAGTTGTAATTCTGGGAGATCTCCTGGCCCCCCGGAAGCTGGCAGCCCTACCTGGCAGCGGTGGGTTTGGAAGTGGCTCGTCCCTTACTCACCTCTTGATGGTGCAGGCATCGGGGCAGGTGGGGCACTTCTCACAGGTGTCTCCGTAAGAGCCAGGCTGGGTGCAGATGCACTTCCCACAGGCACAGTAGCCCCGCCCGAGTCCACTGCAGATCATCCCATTGCTGGACAGGCAGGTGTCGGTCCGGGTGGTGCAATTGCAGTAGGTCCCCTTCCAGTCCGGGTCGCAGACACAGTCCCCGCAAACGCACTTCCCGTGACCTGGAAGCGAAACCGCAGCGTGAACGGGAGCGAGAGCTCAAATATATATATTATTTTTTGGGGGGGGGGATTCGTTTAATAATCAATAGTGAAATCGTACAACAATTCCATAGTCAAGAAAGCTGAGGCAGAAAGATAAACAAATACATATCAATATTGTGCAACGAACGTGACATCAAACATTAGCCAAGCTAAACATTATACAACAAAGTGTTGAGAAACAAGAATGTTACGAGCAGTGAAAATTGCTAATATTGAAGCAATCCTAGTGGAAGAAATACAGAATTTTAGGATATTTTATTGTATCAACAGTCGTACATTCCGGTGTTTACCTTAAGAACTAAAAATAAGACTTCTATATTGGTTTTTTTATCACTACAAAAAACTACAACAGAAAAAAGGGAGGGGGAGACTACACATACGGGAGAAAGTAAAGTACCCACTACTATCTAAAAAACCCAAGAGGAGATCCTCCACTAGCTTTTATACATCCAGTCTTTTCATCTTTTTTTCTTTTTATGAACTGTGTCAAACTTTTAAAACTTTTTACCCTCCCAGTTTACATTTAACTGCCCAATAACAGTGCCCCCAATCATCCCCAAGAACCAAAGTTCTCAAAGGCACAATTCAGAGTCCTTCAGCCTTTGCTTCTTCTTCTCTCTTCTCTTCCGCAACTTGTAGGGACTTTTCGGGGTTGCTGCCCCCTGCTCAGACAGAGTCCTCGCCAGATGAACCAGTTTCCAGCTCCGATATGGTGGTTTTCTACATGCGGACTATCTTGGGTGGTTTCTCCGTGGCTGTTGTGGCTGACAAGTGGCTATGGGGGCTGCCCTTTGAGGGGTTTTCCAGCATTTCCCATGGCCCAGTCCCCTAAGGCAGCCATCACACCCACCCCACCACCACCCTAGACAATATATTTTTTTAAAGCACCCAGCAGCAGGGAGAACAGGAGCAACGGCAACCGGCGACCAGCGTATGAAAAACGGTGCCAAAGCCGGCAGAACCCAGGGTTGCCACCAAGGCTCCCTCTAAGCTGTGGAGTCCTGTGAGCAAAAATCCTACTTCCTGAGCTACCGGCATTAAAGTTGTGAGTGAGCGATTTGGCTACCGCATAAATTAGTTTGCTCTGGAGCCGTCCATTCCTGAGCTAAGACAAAAATGTGTGAGCCGGAGGCTAAAAGGCTGTGAGCTAGCTCTCACTAACTCAGCTTAGAGGGAACACTGGCTGCCACCCCTCCACTGGCAACCCCCAGGAGCTTTGTGGATGGAGTCCGGAGAAGGGGAGCTTTATACCATAGGATGGCATCACAGACATGCATACTTCAAGCCGCTTGCATGCTGTAGGGTTGCCAAGTCCATTTTAGTCCCCAGCGGGGGACTTTGGGGGACGTTCCCGGAGGGGCGGAGCATCCCCGACATGATGACGTCCCGTTGGGGACGCCCCCCGCTCTCCCCCCCCCCCGCGCGCCCAATGGGCGCACATAAAGTAGCCAGCAGCCGGCATTTCCCCTTTAAGAGAAGCTGCGTTTCCCTTTTAAGAACGAAGCTGGCTTTTCCCTGCAAGCTTGTGGAGTTCGCGCGTGGGATGAAACACGGGTTGCACACCCTTAAAGGGAGGGAGATGGGTGGCTGTGGGTGTTGGGGGTGGGGAGAACCCCCCCCAAAAACGGGGACCCCTGCCAAATCGGGGGGGGGGGTTGGCAACCCTAGCATGCTGTGATGTCACTTCCGGCTGCTCCACCAGGAGTGATGCCACACTGTTTCTGCCAGTGGGCAGCCATGGCAACATTTGCAGGACCAGGGAAATCTGGACTTCCCCATCCACAGGCTAGCCATTTCATCTTAGCTATGATCTTTCTGAAAAGATCAAATTAAACCTCCACATCCAGAGGCACTGAGGCCTCGGCCTCCATGCCCTCTTGCTGGCCCTCCAGAGGAACTGGGCTGGCCCCTGTGTGAGACAGGATGCTGGACTAGGTAGACCACTGGTCTGATCCAGCAGGGCTCTTCTGATGTTCTAATGAAGGCCTCGGCCTCCATGCCCTCTTGCTGGCCCTCCAGAGGAACTGGGCTGGCCCCTGTGTGAGACAGGATGCTGGACTAGGTAGACCACTGGTCTGATCCAGCAGGGCTCTTCTGATGTTCTAATGAAGGCCTCGGCCTCCATGCCCTCTTGCTGGCCCTCCAGAGGAACTGGGCTGGCCCCTGTGTGAGACAGGATGCTGGACTAGGTAGACCACTGGTCTGATCCAGCAGGGCTCTTCTGATGTTCTAATGAAGGCCTCGGCCTCCATGCCCTCTTGCTGGCCCTCCAGAGGAACTGGGCTGGCCCCTGTGTGAGACAGGATGCTGGACTAGGTAGACCACTGGTCTGATCCAGCAGGGCTCTTCTGATAGTCTTAAAGTAAATCAGGTTTTGGAAAGATCACCAGAAAGATGAGGGAAATCTGGGAGGTGCATGGATGCACCTGATGCTGTGGGGAAGCAAGGGAACCTGTTTCCCAATGGCATTCAAGCTGGGTCAAACAGGATGAGGAAAACCCCACTTTTCTTGTCAGCCCTTCATTTAGAAGAAGAGAAGAGTCTCAGAGCAGCTTACAAACTACTTTCCCTTCCCCTCCCCACAACAGACACCCTAAGAGAGCTCTCCCGAGAACTGCCCTTGAGAGAACAGCTCTGAAAGAACTTTATAACTGGCCCAAGGTCACACAAGCAGCTGCATGTGGAGAAGTGGGGAATCAAACCCGGTTCTCCCAGATTCGAGTCCACGCTCCTGACCCCGACACCAAACTGGCTCTATCTGTCGCCATCTAACCTGTCTTGTAAGTTCAGTGCTGCGAGAATAAAACAGGACGGCCACTGTGCAGCCCTTCTGTCTAAGCTGGGAAGGGCAAGGTACAGAAGGACGCCCTCTAAATACGTTGCTGCATGCCAGGGTCCGTCCCTGCATATAAATTGCCCATCAGCTAGTTCAGCTAGTAAACGATTGATGCAGCCGAGGCATTAATACGAGAACAGAAATGCTGCAAGGTCAGAGGCCCCAAGCACTCGTGCATATTCTGCCTGAGGCGTCTGCCTCCACTTCTGCCCACGCAAGTCCTGGTCAGAGGGCAGCCACAGTCCACCTCTGCAGGGGAAGAATAAATAGGAAGACGGGTTAATAAGAAATTCCAGTGAATGGCAGAGAGGGAGGAGGAGGAGGAGGAGGAGAAGGCAGCTGCTTGTGTATGTGTGCATGGAGGGGGGGAATCGCTGATGATGATGGGGAGAAAGGACATGCTAGGGAACAGGTTGTGGGTTTGTCATATACATCAGAAATAATTACTGCCATGGAATGAACCAGGAGACAGCAAATTAGTTGACGGGGGTGCAGGGAGAAAGGACGGGCAGTGCAGAAACAGATCTGGAACAGCGACGGGGGGTGGGGGGGAGAGAAACCTCCGCATTTCAAATTCGCACGCCAAGATTCACCTAATGAGATCAGGCTGGCATAACTCCCAAGTGGCCGTGCTCTTGCGTTTCGCACAGGAGGCGGCTCCAGTTTGGAGTGGTGGTTAAGTGTGCGGACTCTAATCTGGGAGAACCGGGTTTGATTCCCCACTCCTCCACTTGCACCTGCTGATGTGACCTTGGGTCAGTCACAATCTCTGGCACAGCTGTCCTTGAAAAAAGCAGTTTCTGTCAGAGCTCTCTCAGCCCCACCCGCCTCCCAGGGTGTCTGTTGTGGGGAGGGGAAGGGAGAGGAGTTTGTAAGCCGCTCTGAGACTCCGAGTGAAGGGCGGGGTATAAATCCAACCTCTTCTTCTTCTTCCCCAGAAATTTCATGGCTGAAGCCTTTTTCGACTACTTAGTTTCTATTCCTAAGATACAAGGGTTTGCCCTCTGCCATTTTAGAAGCCAGATATAATAAAATCATGCGAAGGGAATGTCTTTGTAGAAAGGGAGAAGAAAGTTTAGAACATGGGGTTTTTTTATTGTCGATCATACCAGCACAATAGAGAAATATTGCTAAATCCCATTATTAAATCACATCCAGGGCGTGGTAGGGGGACTCTCCTCTCAATTATATTGGCAGATAAAAATCGGAATATAACTCGTATGGTGGCTAAATTTGGTTGGTTAGCCTATTGTATTAGGTGAGAGTCGAGGGATCATAATTAATTGGTTAAATTGATTTTATCTGATAGGTAATGGAATTTGTAAATACCTTTAATGTTTCAACATTCTAACATACATTGTCACATAAGAGATATTTTACTATTGTTCTGATTGCTGCTATATTATCTGTATTCGCTGCATTGTGGTCTTTGACCACACTAACTATTACAGTTACAGGAAATTCATTTTTTACTCATAGGGTTTCCAGGTCCTTCCTGGCCACTGGTGGGAGGGGGGGTAAGGGGTTGCCAGATCCAGGTTGGGAAACTGGGTCTGGGAATTTGGGGGTGGAGCCTGGGGAGGACAGGGACCTCAGTGGGGTACAAGGCCATAGAGTACGCCCTCCAAAGCAGCTGATTTTCTCCAGCAGAACTGAACCCTGTAGTCTGCAGCAATGCTCCCTCTAAGCTGTGGAGTCTTGTGAGCACAAGTTCTACTTTGTGAGCTTAAAGTTGTGAGCGAGGCATTTGGCTACTGCATAAATCAGTTTGCTCTGGAGCCCTCCTTACTGAGCTGAGACAAAAATGTGTGAGCTGGAGGCTAAAAAACCGTGAGCTAGCTCACACTAACTCAGCTTAGAGGGGACGCTGGTCTGCAGATGAGCCATAATTCCAGGGAGTCCCCAGGACCCACCTGGAGGTTGGCATCCCTTGGTAGTGTTACAGGAGCAGGGCCAATTACAAACAAGGGGCAACTTTCTTCAGCATTCGCATTTCCCATTCTGGATTTTGCAGCATGTGTTTGCAAGGAATCTGGCTGAGATTTTAGGGAATCTGTGCTGTATCATCAAGAAGGGAAAGGGAGGTGTTGCTCCACGATACCACGTCTGCTTGGTCACCTGA